TCCAGGATCTCTCTGAAATTCATGAGCATGTGAATCTTTGCAATATTTGTCACTGCTGTTTAGTTCCATTGTTATGATTTACTTTTCATTCATTGGTGGCTGATTGATTTACCACATATCTCTTTTGTATGGCTAATGGCAAGGAAAGAACTGATCTAGAAGGACTGGGCTATGGGTTTAAGCCAGGGGTGGGCGATTACTTTGGGTGGAGGGCCACTTACTGAGTTTTGCCAAGCTATTGAGGGCCACATGACGGGCAGCCAAAGGCAGATAAATATTAATTTTCTAAATTTTTTAGGGGCCCTGCAAGCCAGATAGAATGGCCTGGTGGGCCACATTTTGCCCACCCCTGGTTTAAGCACATCTCTGAGCAAGGTATGTACCCCTGCAGCAGTCCAACAAGAGAATGCTGCACATCTCTAACACAACTCTTTCCCTGTCTCCTTCTTGCTCTGGAAGAGAAGCAAGGACTGACAGTGAATTATTATGCCTCACGTACCAGCTCAAATGTTCTGGCCTACAGGTAAAGTATGTGGAGCTAAGCTGCACTCATTCCCCACCCATACTCTACCTTCCTGATTGAGAGAAGTGAGCACACAAATTCTTTTGGGTAGAGAGGGTCTTAGAGAGTGTCTTACACCTGCCTGTCTTGCATAGGTGTGAGGTCCAAGCTACAACTTATCTCTAAATAAGTGATTCTCCTACAGTATGTGTTTGTAAAGCTCTATGCACTAGCTTGACAATGGACAGTCAGACAAGTTGTGGTGGTATGGCTGCAAAAGTCCTGCACGCTCATGCTAAAAGCCCAATCTTGATCCAGGAGACGCAGGTCCTTTAGCTATGGAATACACAGTTATCTCTCCCCAGCTCCCTTTTGCTTTTCCCCCACCAAATGCATACATTCATGGATTGGGTGGCTCCATCCCCCTTGAATTGTATAAATCAGTGGGGTATGCCCTCCTGAAGGGGTGCAAAAGGTTTCTGAGTGAGAGGAGGGTCTGTGTGCATCATGGCCATTGATTTGCCACCAGTTCTCCCTGCAACCAACTGCTGCTGATTAGCCTCAGCTGATCGGAGACTTGGTGGTGGTAGCTAAAGCAGGGGGATGCATAGTAGGGTGACCATCATAGAGGACAGTCTTGTTGTCCTCTGTCCTCTATTGATATGAAACCTTTGATGTCCTCTATTTTTCTCTTGAAGAAAGAGAAACCAGAATGTCCTCTATGATGGCCACTCTGTAAGTGTGGTCAACCCTGCTGTGGTGGGAAATGTTGATACAAGTCATGTTGGGAACACCATAGGACATCCTCAAGTATTTGTTTCACACAAATATGGTCCAGAGCTATGACAAGCTATTTACAACTAAGTGATGAACAAAAAAATCACATATACACCTATCAACAGAAATGTCATCAATTTGTTAAACTCCCTGTCAAGCAATAGATATGACTACTTGATGAAGGTGGGCTTAGTAAATAACACAGGCAGGCACTTTTGAGATGAACACTATGTACATAAAGCTCGCTTGCATGTTTGTGTGTGGGGGCAGGCATTCCAAGTACGAGTTGTGTACAGTGTGTTCAAAGCTCTTTTCTGTTTAGTTTATTTCAGGATTATGCCATAGTCCTATGTTTACTTGTACATTTTTCCTCCCAGAATCTGTTTTTACTGCAGGTCCCAGTGACAAACAGTATAGGTAGAAGGAGCACACTTATACAAGCACAAATGAAACAGAGTTTAAGGTACATCTTACAATAGTAATTAAGAGCATATCTAGATCTTAGGCCAGATTCTCAAGGACACTTTGGCTGGTGTGTGTTGCTACTGCAATACCAGCTGTAAAACCAGGTGCAGCTAGCCAGTGAAGCTGGCTTTTGAGTAAAGCAGTACAAAGCTGCCCAAAGTGGGCTGATGACTGTAGTTTTTCAATTTAATTCGTATAAACTGAGCTAGCTTGTTAACTAAATTAGCTTCCATTCTGCACAGTTTTCAGCATAGCTGGTGGAGAGAAGCCAGGTAATAAGCTATTGTTCAACTCTCACTTTTAACAAGCAGAAACCACTGAAATGATTATGTGAGCTGGGGTAGCAGTTGGATCCTGTCTTATGAAGGAATCTCATTTGAAGTGCTTTGAACATTGTTTTACATTGATTTTCATATTGGCGCTCTCAGTACATTTTTATTTAAAAACAAAACAAAGCAAACTTCTGCATGATTGACTCAGTTGATACCCCAGGAAGCCTTTACCAATTTTCATCAGGGAGAAACTCAGAAGCACTCCAAAAGCTCCATATTGCTTATAACAGCACGATCATCAGCACTGTTTTATGTTACTCAGGGATGATTGATGAAGTTGCCTCACATAAATCAGAGGTCAGCCAGGAACACCTGCAGCCTCTTACAGTTCACCTGGCCTGTACTGCAGCATCTGAGATGACAGCAATATTTATTGAAAGAAACCCTACAAAAAAGATTCCACAGAACAGGCTGCTCTTGAACTAACCTAGACTTGCAACTGTCATATCTTCTGTACAGAAAAAGTATCACCATTGAATGCCACTGTCAATTTAGTAAAATTAAAACTAAGGTGCAGTCTGCAGAAAGAGGCTTGATATAGTCAACTGAGCGCTGCCTGAGATCAGTCATTCTTAAGCTGCAGTCTTGATTCTGGCTACTGATTTCCCTTAGTGGTCTTGGGCAAATCATTTAGGCCTAGAAGGTGTTATCCTCACATAGAACTTTTTCTCACTCCCTAAGTATTCCTACTGAGTTACTTCTTACTGTAAGTTTATCATAACCTGACCCTAAGGGCCTTCAGTGGGCTTTGGCATCACTAGTCAATTTGCCTCACTATCTTCATTAAATAGATGGGAGAAAATACTTATCCATCTCACAAAAGTGTTGAAGTAATAATGTATTTTATGTTTATTGCAATTTCAACATTTAAAACCTAGATGAACCCAGCTCACCCTAGAAAAATACTTAAATATGGAACCCAACAAAGATTGGGGACCAGTGAACAGCCTGTCTTTGGTCAGGACAATTACATTTAAAAATGTCCTCTTCTCAGTTTCCAGTGAAACACTAACTCAACAAAAATATCCAACCATACAACTACTCAACCCTCTTACTACAATGGATTTAAGAAAGTGGTCAAATATTTGCTATATTTCTTTTACTGCAATAAGATTTAACTATTAACAGTTCCCTGTTTCAGTTGATAGTTCTGTTGTATTGTCGCATGCATCTCCTCCACGAAGTGTTGACAAACAATACTTCTCTAGACTGGTGAATGGACACTTAAGATAACACAGTGCTAGAAACATCCCAGGCATGGACGGGTTTGCACAGATCTAAGGTCTGGAAGTCTGGTCATGGCTGAGGCTTGAAGCTGCTGAAAGTGCTGATTTTGTCTCGAACAGTGAAACTCAGAACTGGCTTGTATACTTCAGCAGTGCTCCCCTGCTAGGCTCCTATGGAGAGCTCAGGATGAGCTAAACATTGAGAACCCAGAAGGAAGATGGTAGTGATGAGACTGCTGTCTCTTGTGTGGCATCTGGTTCGAAGGTAGAAAGGGTCGTCAGTGGTGCTGGGGTATGCATGTGCAATTTAGTAGCTCTCAGTCATATTGAAGATCCATGTGGTCAGATTCTGCACTGGTGTTAGCATCAATTTCCATAGGGATACATCAGCAAATAATTTAGCCCTTAACGTTTAGAATGTCCCTTGCTAATGAAAATTCAAGTGATTTAAATTAGCATCTCCACTTAGGCATTGCAAAACTTAAAATTAGATGCCTTACCCCTAAGATGATCCAATTTGACAGGATTGGGTGCTTAGGCTCCACATAGAGACAATGGAGAGAACTGAGTGCCTCCAAAGATCGAATCAGAGTGCCTAGATACTGAACAGGGAGAGGCCTACAGGTAGTCAATACAAGCATTAGGCACAGGGCATGTGTCTGAGCTCGTGCCCATTCTTGAGTTTAGACACCAGATTCAGGGCTGCACATAAGTTGTCCCTGTCATCTCGGGAACCAGACCACCATGAGAGCAGAAGGGCAGTTAATACAGAGCTGGCTTTGTTGCCTTTACAGTCATTACCTAAGTTTTCTGGTTGTTATCCACCACTGGAGTGATACAGAGCAATCAGAAGGGCTGAAGATCTGGACCTAACTATGTATTTATGCTTATGACTGGTATTTATGATAACCAAGGGCTACAGAGAGAATATGCTACCAAAATGATTGTACATATCAATTATCCATCCTTCTGTATGTCTGTCAGTCTTGAGAGTTTTATACTCCTGCCCATCACTATGTTATCTGCTCACCTGCCACATAAATCACTTGCAATAGTTCCTAGTGAACTTCATACCTTCTCTCCCTCTTTTCACTTTTTTGGGAGTAAAAACTATGCTTAGGGTATGTTCCATACTTGAGTCAGTAAATAGGTTTGTCTTAGGACTATTATTTCTTTTTTAAAAGAGTTATTTTTATTTTTTCCCTCATTTTGGAGGTGGGTGGGTCTATAGATGGAGTATCACTGTTAGTGTGATTCTTGCTGGGGTGGAATTTTTCTTTCTCTTTTTGAAGAGGAAGATTCTGTGGTGTTTCCTAAAGATGGCTGGATTTTGGCTTCACCTAGTCTCCACTGGAAATCTGGTTCACAGCCAAAAACCTATGAAAATCACAACAGCATGTGATGTGATTATGCAGTATGTGTTTACGTGTGCACGCACACACAGCTGAAAGCATACCTACAAACTATTTACCTATTGACTACATCCAAGCTAATGGATCTAGTAGCAGATGCTACACAACCCCTTTTCTTTTTATCAGTTGTTTAACAGTGATTTGCTGTTTGCAGTAGTCCTCAGGTATCCTTCTCAGCATTGGGTTCCATTGTAGGTGGAGCTGTATAAGCACAAATAAAAACTCTTACCCCAAATGGATTGAAGTCTTTGTTGTGAATTATCGTGGTTCTCCTTCCTTCTACTAGGTCCATGGAAAGTGCATGTGTAAGCACAATACAGCAGGCCTCCACTGTCAGCACTGCGCTCCACTCTACAATGACCAGCCCTGGCAGGCTGCAAATGGCAAAACCGGAGCCCCGAGAGAGTGCCGATGTAAGTAATTAAAAGTGCCTCGGGGCCGTCAGCATAAATAAAATGCCTTACTGCATACCTTCCCTGTATGCTTCAGAAAGACAGTAAACAGCAGGATGACAGACAGTAGCAAATCAAGATCACCACACACTGCATGGTTAAACCATGGAAGCAGCTCTGTCCCCCAAGGTGTCTTAGGGGATTACCACAATGCAGCCAAAGGTGTGCCTATAGCTTACATGGACACAGTTGAAAGATTCCACTTGTCTAGCTGGGGTATGTATAGCAGTGTTGCTGCAGCAGCATGGAGCTCAGGGTGGGCTGCAAACCCAGCCCTCATGTTTTGTCCGTGCTTCTAGGATGGGCTGCAGATAGGTTGACCTCTGTCCTACTGCAGTTGCACCTTAACTGTAGTGCGGACACTGTAGGACTCAAAGTCTATTTCTCTAATGGTTAATATTATATATGTAGGGTATTTTCCAGAAGGGCCATAGGGCTCTCTAGAATGCCTGTACTTCCCCCTGTCTGAAACAGCTCAGATTTGCCACTGTTCATGGTGTAGGACCCACTTTGCCTGGCCCTGGAGAAAACTTAGGACAGACTTAAATGTGCTGGAGTGGTGGGTAGAGGGGTGAACTGAAAGAAATTTGTGTTTTATTTAGTAATATTGAACAATTGCCAGAAAACTCAGAACAGGTGTATGTGCAAGCTTCATGCTTTAAACTACAGGATTTTTTTAATCTTCTGCCAAGTTACCATCCTCACCCTCAGTTTCTCAGTTGCTCTTGTATTTATCATATTCTCCCCCAAATGAGTTTTTGCATTTTATTTTTTATTGGCAATGATCTTCAGTGTATGCCAGAGCCCATTTATTTTGATTATATAACTTTCTGTAAGATTCAAAATCACATCTTCTGACCCTGAGTAGAGTCAAATTAAGTTAAAATAAATGTTCGTTCTGTTAGGTTAAAGGACCTCACCAAAGAGAGAAAATACAAAAGCAAACTGTTGCATGTTTATTAATACCTAATGCATTGACTCAAGATCAGGACTCATAAATGGCCTCCTAACAGAGCATCCATTTTATCTGGATGATTCTCAAATAATTAGTTATATCAGCACTAGCATTTCACTAACAGTGCATTGATACATACATTTGATTTTCTTTGCTGTTCCAGCTACTTGTTTTCCAGCATTTGCATTGAATTTTTCTACATGTCGCCACCTTTCCTTTTTGTAATGAACCTTTTTTTTCCTTTGGCTTGATCCTAGCATGTAAATGTAATGGACATGCTGACACATGTCACTTTGATGTGGGTGTGTGGCTAGCATCAGGGAATCACAGCGGTGGAGTCTGTGATAACTGTCAGCACAACACAGAAGGACAGCACTGCCAACGTTGCAAGCCAGGCTTTTACCGAGATCTCAGAAGGCCTTTCTCGGCTCCAGATGCCTGCAAAAGTAAGTCTCTGTTAATTCACTAATAAAAAGTGACCACTGTAAGTGAGTGAAGGACAAGAAGAAAAGATCCTCCTGTCTTTCATTTTGTTGTTTTGTCAGTGGTCTATAAGTTCTAGACAGTTAAGTTGCTTCATCATCTTTCCATTTGTTCTGTAGGCTGTTTGCTAAGAACAAGAGGGTTTGTTATGCTAGGGACCAGCAGGTGCTTTGGATCGCCCTGCATTGTGGATACCTATAATTTTTTATATGTTGAAGGGGCTGACAGCAGCTGCTTTACTTAATTGAGGATTAATCAACATTGTATTGCTATTTCTGAAGAACAGAGCTGCTCATCTGCACATCTTCTACATTAGCATTGGCAGAGACTCCATAAGGGGTGTGGTTTGGCTAAATACAGATGGAATTAACCAAAAAAAACCCCTCAAATCCATACTGATTCTTTGACATTATTGGAAACAGGTGGATCTGAAGGGAAAAAAATTGAGCATGTGTACTATTCCAGAAAACTTGACAATAATGAGTCTTCTCAGCTGTGTAGTCCATAGGGAGTGACCCTGTTATATGTGAAATGAAACATCTCCCAAGTGAAATGAAAGATCTGAAAGCAAAAATCTCCTGGCAACATTTTTAAGATTTGCGTTTCATTGTAGAAGACTTCAGACACAAACAGGCCACAACTGGCAGCTAAATATAATGGTTAAGCAATATGCACAGCTACACAGCTGTAAACTACTACTCACTGCAGTAACACAATACATATAACAGAGCATAAGGCAGTGCAGTATCTTCACACACAGAAGAAAGATTCTCGCACCCATCCTGTTGGAGTTGTTCCAAAGAAAATTGTTCCCGTCTCTCACAAAGTGTTCTGAAAAATAAGAATACTTTTCTAGAGAAAGATAAATAGGCAGCACCCTTTGAAACTACACTCTGATTGAATATGACCTGTGGCCATCCCTGGCTTCATTATGAGACATATAGCAAGCAGACGTTAGGATCATAGGAAAGTATGGCTGGAAGGGACCATGCTTGGTCATCTGGTCCAGACCCCTGCTCAAGACAGCATCATCTTTAATTAAACCATCCCAGCCAAGTGTTTGTCTAACTTGTTCTTGAAAACTTCCAAGGATGGAGAGTCCACAATTTCTATAGGTAGCCTGTTCCCCTGCTTAGTCACTTTCATAGTCAGAAAGTTTTTGTCTGAATGTCCCCTGCTGCAACCTAAGGCCATTGCTCTTAGTCCTGTTCCCTACAGCCACAAAGAAAAGCAAATCTCCATTCTCTCTGTAATCACCCTTCAGGTATTTAAAGATTCTTATCAAATCCCTTCTCAGTCTTCTTTTCTTCAAACTAAATAACCCTAGTTCTTTCAGCTTTTCCTCATAAGTCTTACTTCTGAGGCCCCTAACCATTTTTGTTGCTTTGTGCTAGACTTTCAAACTGTCTGCATCCTTCTACATCTGTCTACCATCTGTATAAAAAAAATTATCCTCAACCTTGTCACGTCAATAGTTTTTTCCAGTGTGACTTTTTGGTATACCACTAATCTATCAGAGGAACCTTTCTCTTCCTTATGTTTCAGTTAATTATTAAGTTCAGTTATTATTCAGTTAATTCATTTGTACTGTATACTGTACATTTTACACACCTGATTCTTTTATCAGTAAATTAAAAAATGTGTGTGGCTTTAATCCTTCATGTAAATAGTTCTATTGTTGTAATGTGTATACATCATATTATTTATTCACTCTTATTTTCTTAATATTTTCTTAATGCCTCTTTAGCCACTACCACTGCTGCTTGTATACTTTAGTTCCTCATCCATGATATCAGATCCTTTTTTTCATTATACAGGACATGTACATGCTATAGTGATTACTTGTTCAATAGACAGAGGCATATGTGAATCAAAAAAATTAAACAATGAACTTTATTATGGAGCAGTCAGCAACCTCTGCAGACCCTTGGTCACAGACTAACTAACAGCTACTACCTAACTGAGGGACCATCTCCCAATTCCCAACTCTTCTAAATTAGGGAGTCTCTCTAACCTATAACTTTTATCACTACATCTTCCCACAATATAATAATAATTACAACAATAATTACAAAAATTAACCCCAAAGTCCATTAATGCCCATCTACTAGCACATCACCCTGAAGTGAGTCTTCACTATTTACTTTCCTATTTCCCCTTTTCTGCAGCTCTTTTAGTAAGTATCTGTGGGCACATCTAGACGAACATACATGTGCATTTCCCTGGGGACAAATAGCAGTGGCATATAGCTATGCTGCTTCTACTTGTCCCTGGGGAGCGCATAGCAAATTGCCCTGGGTTGAGGTAGAAGAGACTGAGGCCAGCACCTGGGCTGGCCCCAACACCCTTATTTGGGGTCCTGGGGGCCTCTTGGGGCTCCAATGGGAGCAATCTGGGCACAAGGAGCCTGGCCAGCAGCTTTTTCTGCCACAGGATTTTTTTTACACCAGGATCTCCCAGTGTCCAAAAAAAACTTACTGCACTGCCTACCATATAGAGAACCCCTTTGGGGGTCAGTTCTGCCACCTGGGCCTTCTTGGTTTGTGCTGCCCTATGCATTTGGATGGTCTTTTCTAGAGACAAGTTTCCCTCATGTGATAGCTTTTCTTGTGATGAAGTGTTGGCAAGGCCACAAATAATCCTATCTCTAATCAGAGATTCTGTCAAGTTCCTACAAGGACATTTCTTAGGTTTTTTTAGTTCAGTATACATGTACTTTTATCCCATTGTTTGTCTTCACAAAAAAATCTGTTTTTTTCAATAGTCTGATTGCTTTTTTGGCATGCACTACTCCTCAGAGGTGGATAGTATTATACTTAACTGCACATTTTGAAGGTAAAGGTGTTATAAACAGCTAGGGCTTCCTCCCCAACAGTATGGAAGAAGACAGATGATTTGGCTTTGTCTCTTCTACCCCTTTGGCTGCTTGGTACCACTTAGACCTTTTGTCTAAATGCCTTCCAGTTCCCTGCTATATTGCCTGACAGCAGAAGGGAAGACGGAGGTTACAAAACTTCCATGACTAACTGTCCTTTTGCGTTGACTATAACTCTGCAGAAGGATCACTTACTTTTATCTTTCCACATGGCTTCATTGTTCCTCTTGCTCTCAGTTTCCAGCTTCTGTTTCAGTTTGGATCTCTAATTCTTTCAGGTTCTTTCTCATTCACTATTCCTGACAACATGTGATCACTGGGTTCAATAAACACAGGCATACATGATTGAAAAGAACTAAACAACAAACTTTTAATTGTGGAGCAGTAAGCAACCTCTGCAGACCCTTGGTTTCTCTCTAACAGCTACTATGTAACTGAGGGACCATTTCCCAATTCTCAACTCTTCTAAATTATAGGGTATCTGTAAATTATAACTTGTATCACTACACTTGCATTTTCTTGTGCTCCCACTGTCATGCCAGGCCATGGGTAGCCAGTTCCAGGAATAACCTGAAAGTCAGGAGAAGCCAGAAAGTCAGAAGATAGGAGATCTGTCCAGGGAACTGAGTCAGAGATCCAGAGGGTCAGGCATAGTATGAGGTCAGGTTAGCCAGGTCAGGTATCCAGGAGTTCAAGCCAGAGCTAGGTTAGGAAGAATGCAAGGTCAGGAGGCTAGCCAGATCAGGTATCTAGAGAATCTGTCAGCCAGTAGCAGCACAATCCAAGGGTGCAGCAGCCTCTGTAAAGATTGCACCTTTTTTCACAGACACTTCCCTTCTGGGTCAGAAGTTTGTACGTGAAGGGTAAGCAGTTAGCTGGCCTTGGCTAGCCACTCTGGTGGCAGAAAATGGGAATGTGGAGTGGTCTGGCCACATGTCTGCCCCACTGTTCTGCTGGGGAGGTGGTAGACTGGGATGAGCTGCTATGCCAGACAAGGCCCTAGGTTCAAGGCCATGGACTGACCTCCACTAACAGAAAAACAAGTTAGAATCATGGACTCAGCTCCTCCCTCATCACATAAGAGCAAATTTGCATATAAAGAACCCACATAAATTAAGGGAAACCTGTATAAGAGTGCTTAGTATTCAGTGGGCATGTCTACACATGTGCTTTAATGTGCGGTAGTTTATTTTACTGACCTTAAAGCATCATGGCAAAAACTGTGTCAATACACTAATGCACAGTGAAATTAGGCTACTGAGCATTAAGCATCACTAAAAATCATGTGCTTTCACTACTGCGCATTAGGGCAGCTTAATGTGCATTTAGTTATTACCTCACATTAGAGGTACTAAATTTAATGCACAGTAGCAAAAGTGCATTAACGAACGTGCAGACATGCCTAGTAACCACAAAATGCCATGCAAATACAAACTAATGATTAAGTCTCTGCTTGAGAGGTGTCGAATGGGATTAGAAGTGAAGTCTTGCCCCTGTTGAACCCATGGGGAGTTTTGCTGTTGGATTTCATCTTCAGATCTGTGTCATGAATGGAGGACTTCATTTCTCAAGCTGCTGGTTAACCTTTGGTAGCACCAAATATTTACCCTTAAAATCTACAGTGTAAAAGCAAGAACTTCTGTTAGGAAGAAAGGAAAGACTGGCTTGGGAGGTAACTAATGCTAGGTATACAGAATCCCAGTAAAAACAAAGTTGCTTCCACATATAACAGCAAGTGAAGATAAACATTGTGGGGGAAGCCTAAGGTTTACCTTGACCTGCTAAACTATTTTTATACTACTGTTGTTTGTCTTCACTAGGATTTTACCTCATGTTGGTTGCCACATGTTAGCTGACCTAAGATAAGAAAAATACCTTTTTTCCTAGGCCCTTGAAGCCAAACGAGGTTTTGACATTGACTGCAGTGGGAACTGACTGTGGCCTTTGGGGTTACCATAAAGGAAGCACACTCCGCATTGGAGATGGAAGGAGTGGGTTGTATCAGCCTTTGCTTGGCTAGGGTTGGGTCTGAAATGAAATCTTATACAAAGAGCATATCACTTAGTCCTCCTGCTCCAATAATTTTAG